TGCTTCTTGTTCAGGGACCCGGGAGGGCGACCACGGCCGCGCCGGGCTGGTGGCGGAGCCAGCTGCGTGGCCACCAGCGACCGAAGGCGTTCCTGCTCGGCGGCCAGCGCGGCCGCCGTCCTGGCAGCCAGCGGGACACCGGCCCCGGTGAGGCTGGCCAACATGCCAGCCGTGGTCGGGTCATCGGTCGGACCGGAGCCGGGGGCCCCAGCCTCCGAGGGGCCCTTGGCCGACAGGGCGGTGTTCGAGGGCGCCGGCGTTAGCCCCACATCCATGCGCAGCTGGGCGGCCAGCTCACGCTCGCGCATGTCCGCGCGCGACGCAGGTTCCGGCGCAGGGGCCGAGGCCGGTGCACGTGCTGGGGCGCCCCCCGCGGCCAGGTCCCCAGACCCGGCGTCCGGGGCCGGCGTGGCGGTCGGGGCACTCGTCCCGGCTGCCGCCAGCCGAGCCATCTGGTCCAGGTGATCGGCCACAGAGAAGGCCGCATCGAGGGTCTGGTTGGGGGTTTTGCCCCGCCCCCCCGTCAAGCGCAGAGACAACGGGTTAGTAAAGCCAATGGCACACGGGCTGGCCGGTCGCCGGCACGAAAAAAAAAAGAGGCACACACCGAGCCGAAAACACGGCGATCCACATCGCAAATGCGCTCAACCGACCACCGGGACACGCTCACAGGCTGGTGGTCCGGCCCCGGAAAGCGGCAGGCCGCCAGGAAAGAGGCCGCCACCCGGGAGGAAGTCACGGCCGAGCTTTCCTCGGAGTAGCTGCCGACAGCGGCCGGGGCCGGGGTATCCTCACTTGTCGACGGGGCCGCCGGCCCGGTGGACGACTGGTTCAAAAACTGCAAGATCTCATTGGCTCGCTCCAGTAAGTGGGGCGCGTTATATCGGACACACAGGTCGCTCAGACGGAGCGTTCGCCTTGGGGTTGGAGGGGCACACAGGTCAGTCCCATCGAGGAGTCCAAGCGGGCACAGATGTGACGACGGCCAGGCTGGCGAACGCACGATGCCCCAACCAAGTCCCTAATGCGGGCTATCAGCCGGTTGTAGATCTTGGATGAGGATCCTGAAATCCGGGTGGCCGCCGACTTATCGATCGGCTCGTCCAAGCTGCATGTTTCATGCCGGGTGGAAGAGACAGTGGAGGTCAATATCAGCCAGTGGAAAATAAAAAAAAAGAAAGAAAGCCCCAACAGCAGCCCCGCCCGTCAAGGAACACCCCTCCCCCCCGCTCCAGATGGCAAGCACACACGCGCATGCAGGGGCGCACATGTCACAGGCAATCTGCACACAAGCCACGGGGCGCGAGGCCACCGCGCTGCCGCTGAACTTGGCCGTCGAGGACAGGCGAAAAACCTCTTGCGCCTTGGAGACGATCTGCGGCGCCCGGTCACGGACGTGCAGTTGAAGCTGGCGCACGATGCGCTCGATGTCCATGGCCAAGCGATGGGGCGAGGAAGCGCCGTAACCCGGGGGCGAGGGGAGAGATGACGGCCAACGGCGGAGGGGGATGCAGGCGAGAGGGCCGAAGGGGAGGAGCAAGAAGGAGGGGGGGGGGGAGGGGAGCAGCGAAGCGGAGTGCAATGAAGAAGACCAGCTGAGGGAACTGGAGGAGTGGAGAGGGGTGATCTAAACGGCCATCCCACCTGGGTTCCCAAACCCATTGTGCATCCTCTCGAGTCTCCGGCACCCTGCGCCCTGGGCCACCACCCTGACCTGGCCTTTCGCGTCCCCCCTCCCCGCCCCCCCCCCCCCCCCTGCACGGTTGGGCAACAATCTGCAACAGATATATTTTTGAAATTTGAACCTCGGCCCGGGGCGCAACGGTCTTGTCTACTCCGTTGGCATGTGGATGATGGCGACCGAATGAAGGGTGTGCAGGGCTCAGGAGGGGGGGGGGGGGGGAGCAATCTTCCCCCACGCCCCCGGCCTCCGGCCCCATCCGTCTCTCACGCCAGCTTGCCGAGCTCCACATCGCGTGAGGTCTCGTATGTGGACATCATGAAAAAGCCGATGCTGCGTACCGGGAGGAGAGGGGAGGGGGAGAAAGACCGGTACAGGGGGGTGTCAGAGTGGCAATGACCAGGGAGGAAGAGAAAGAGTTCCCAAGGACACAAAATCGGAGCCCACGCCGGCCAGCGACAACACGCACAGGTTCCGCAAGATGCCTCGATTGAGGGCGTTGTTCCAGGAGCTGGACTTCGACCCGCACGGGGAGTCACCATGCGAGTGGTCGCCATGGTCGCCATGCGAGTGGCCCGGCGAGCCGCACTTCTGGGCCGAGTGATGGTCGGCACCGGGACCGCCGCTGGCCGACCCGCTGCCACTCCCGCAAGCGGACTTGCTGCTGGCACCAGCGCGGCCGGCACCTCCGGAGGCCGGCTCTTCCAGGTGAAGATAGGAGTACCGGCTGAAGTTGATCACCTCGTTGACGGTCAGCCCGCGCAGGATGGCATTCAACTGAGTGGCCAAGGTCAACAAAACCCAGAGGGAGTTGACACCCGTCCAAACGCCGGTCACCGTGAGGAAGGCGTTGCGGCTGACCACAGCACAGGCCCGGCTCCCGAGAGGGCAGGCAGAGGGGGTGTGCTCCGGCAGGAAGAGGCCTTCGGGCGCGTTGGAGAGAACTGCATGTGTGTGTGTGCGTGTATATGGAGGAACACGATCATGCATGCCGATATGCGAGTGAGTACAGATAGGTGCGTACGTGCAGGGCCGAGGGATGGTGGTATGTGGGAGGACGGGAGAGGGGGAGAGGGGGGGAGAGACAGAGAGAGAGAGAGGGAACGCACCCTTATAGATACAAACGACATAAAGGACCATGGAGATGCTGATCAGGAAGAGGAAGATGAGGAAAAGCCGGTGGTTGTCCCGGCCGACAACATTATGCACCCACGGGCAGTAGTGGTCGAAGCGCTCGACACAGCGGTTTGTCTCGCGATCGTGCTTCGAGCGCTGCGGCCGCGACACCATGCATGTGAGGCAGTAGTTTTGCCGGTCGAAGCGCCGCGCGGAAACCAGCTGAGAAATGTCCTGCAGGGGAGAAAGGGGGGAGACAGAGAGAGAGAGATGCAGCGACGAGGGTGAGCGGGTGGAGATGGCCGAGGGCATAGAAGCAGATCACCAAGTCGTACGGCGAGAATGTCCGACACGCTATTGTGGAAGGGCACCACGCCTGGGTCCGAGAACCACACCTTCACACACATGATGAAGCCCGTGATGGCGATCAAGGTGGTGATGATGTACAGCGGAATGTAGGGAGGATATTCTGGAAGGGGAGGCGCGCGCGGGACTCACGGTGAGGGGTGGGGCACGGGAAATGCGGCAGCAGGACGACCTTCCCCCGTGATGGGTACCGAGCGCCCGGAATACGGCGGAGAGGAGAGGCAGCTCCGGGGGAAGGCAGCCGAGCCAAGCAGGGACGAAAAATCAAAGAGAGAGGAAGCAAATGCCCACCCAGGCGCGAGTGCGTACCGTCGCTGGCCATGAACAGCAGGCCAAAGGAGTCATAAACGAGTGACGCATGGAAGACCGAAATCAAAATCGGCGTCCGGTGGAGACCACCGACACGCGTGGCCGGGCCCTGTACGTCACATTTGGAGTCAGTCGTGTGGCGATGGGAGAGAGGGAGAGAGGGAGAGAGGGAGAGCGAGCCAGCGAGCAACCCGGCGCAGGAGAAAGCCCCGAACGAGCAGGCAAAGTGCGAAAACTCGAAAAGTACACCGGGGCGCGACATCCGGCCTGCCTCTTGCCCGGCCCGCGAGGGGCATCGTACCTTGACCAACAGCCAAAAGAGGTAACCCAGGACGGTGGACAGCAACAGGGCCACCGGCCAGAAGGTGGCAGTGAACATGTAGAAGCACGCCCCGAGGAAGACATACGGCACGCAGTAGACCATCAGCATGTCCGGCGACATGTAGCGCGCATGGTGCGGCTGCAGCACATGGCCAATGTGGATGTTGCTCTGGGCCAGAGACTTTCCGCTGGGCCGGGCCGAGGGGGAACGCTCCGGGCTGGCGGCCGCCAGCACATGGCGCGAGGTGTAGCGCGAGGTCAGGCTCTGGAACCAATCGACGTGGCCCTTCTCCCGGGCGATCTCCATGGCCGAGCGCAAGAGCAGCGGGTCGGCTCCGGCAGCGGCGGCGGCCTTCGGCGGCCGGGCCGTCTTCAAGAAGGGATCGGCCCCGGCTTCGAGGAGAACCCGGCAGGCATTCTGCCGGCCGCGCGTGACCGCCCAATGCAGGGCGCTGTATCCCTGCTCATCGGTGGCATAGACATCGGCCCCGAGACGCAGCAGGGCCACCAAACAGTGGAGCTGGTCCTGGGCCGAGGTGGCCACCAGTCGGCTGGGCCCGGTGGGATCCGGCGCATAGGCCGCCCACATGAGCGGCGTGCGGCCGTTGTGATCGCGCGACTCCAATGCCAGGCCAAAGCGCAGCAGCAGCAGCAGCATCATGGGCCGGCCAAATTGCGCGGCCATGTGCAGGGCATTGAAGCCCTTCAAATCGGTCAGCCGGTGATTGGCCCCCGCATGCTCGATCAGGTATTGCACGACGTCCGTGTGGCCCCGCTGCACGGCCCAATGCAGGGGAGTCATTTCGGCACTGCCGCCCGAGACATTGACCACGCCCGGGCCGCCGCGAGCCACCAGCAGCTCGCAAATCCGCCGGTGGCCATTGAGCGCGGCCCAGTGCAGGGCGGTGGTGCCGTCCTCCGGGTTCCGGTCGGCCGGATGTGCCCGCCCGGTGGCCAGGAGCTCCTCCACCAGGTCGATGTCCCCGGCCTGGCAGGCTTGGATCAGAGCCGGCGGGGGAGGGGGCACCGCTCCGGGGCCCGGGTCGGCCGGCTTCGGCAGCGACAGCTCGGCCCGCGGCTCGGAGGGTGCCAGGATGCCCGGCGACCCGGCCGTCGAGGAAGCCCCGCTTGTGGCGACCGACGTCGCGGTGCTCGAGGGAGGCGACGCGACCGGCGTCGGGGGCGCCCCATGGGCCGGGTGCGGCTGAGGCGTCGAGGCATGGTGCGCGGCCGGACCGGCACCCGGGCCATGCATGCCGAAGCTGCTCGGTGCATGGACACCGGTCCCCGTGGAGAAGGGGTGTGTTGTGACCGGGGTCACGGTGCCGATGGGGCCCGCCGGCGAGAAGACTGGCCCGCCGGTGCCCGGCCCGGCGGCAAAGGGATGCGTCGGGGAGAAGATAGCCCCGGGGCCAGGTGGCGGGGGCGAAGACATTGTGTGCTGGGGAGAGGGAGGATGGGGGGAAAGGGGAGGGGGAAAGGGGTGGGTGAGGGCCAGCATGTCTGACGGGTGAGTAGCCGGGGCCCGGGACAGTGGGGTCCGAAAAGCGCGCATCGGGCGCGCAAGCGACGAGTTCCGGGTCCTCGATGCCCGTCGCGCTGGTCTGGTACGTTTGCCGGGGGGGAGTGGGGGCCGGCGGGGGGTCGGCATTTCGAGTGGCACGGATCGGAGCAAGGGCCCGTGTCGAAGGCCGCGCCGCGAAGCCCATGCCAGAGCCCGACCAACTCCGAGGGGCCGTTCCGATCAACTGAGGGTCTCGTCGGAGGGCCTGCGGATATGCGTGCGTGGGGGAGGCGTGCGTGGGCCGGTCTGCGCCCGTGTCCGCCGTGAGAAGCTGCCGTGAGATCTCACCGGGCTGCGAGGTGGGGGCCACGCAGAGCCCGGGGGCGAGGGGGCGGGGTGGGGCCCTGGCAGGATGCGGTATTTCGCGTGCGCCCATGTCCGACCGCCATCCACCCAGCTGGGCCGCTAGAGCCGGAGCGCGCAGGGAACCGGTGCGCATTCGGCTCGGCCCCACGCACATCCACGCTGCCGAGCCGCGAAGCATCCCCAAACCGCCACGGCAACGGCCGACCGGGGTGGGCTGCCATCGCATCCCCAGGCCGGTGGGCGCCGTTTCCTCGGAACGCCGCTTTTCACGCCGGCCGCCGCCGGTCCCCGCCGCCCGGCGACACCTCCGGGTGGTGGTCCCCCCCCCTCTCCCGTGGCCTCAGGGCATGGGCGTGGCCCGGTCAAATCTAGTGCCAGCATCTCGGGTCCGTGTTTCTCGCCGGTGGTCTGCCGCGCGAAAGTGGGCAGGAGGGAAACGCATGGGTGTCGTCGGGGCGCGCCCGGCCCCCCCCCCCCCCCCCCCCCCCCCAGCCTGCCACCCTCCCCCACCGGCTTTTCGCGCATGCCGGCGGTGCACTCAACCA